AACTTTTCAATTATTTTACAAATATCGCATTCGCTTGCTCTGGAAGATGTGGAATCCTTCACGTACCAGGAAAGCATCATTAATGAATAAGGAGGATCGAATGCAGACGTAAAGGCGAGTATTGGCAAAGCAAGAGCCTCATTCCTACGATTGAAGAACAGATGGATCTCAAAATAACTGTCAACCAATATCAAAGTGAGAATCTTCAATACGAACGTTAAGACAGTTCTACTGTACGAAGCTGAAACTTGGAGGACTACTACAAACATCATCAAGAAGGTACAAGTATTTATAAATAGTTGTCTACGCAAGATAATCAACATCGATTGGCGGGATATAATCAGCAACAGCCTACTGTGGGAGAGGACAAACAAGCTTCCAACTAAAGATGAAATTAGGAAAAGACGATGGATGTGGATAGTACATACATTGAGGAAATCATCAAACTGCTTCACAAGGCAAGCTTTAACTTGGAATCCTGAAGGGAAACGGGGAAGAGGAAGGCCAAATAACTCATTCAGTCGGGAAATAGAAGCAGATATGAAGAGAATGAATAACACCTGGAAAGGACTGCCCAGGACAGGGTTGGATGCAGAATGCTGGTGTACGGTCTATGCTTCTCTACGAGGAGTAACAGGCGTGAGGAAGTAGGGTACCATGGGACTGTATCTCCTAACGTTGCCCCACTGCCTTGTAGACTAGTCCTCTAGGTCAAAGGTCCCGGGTTCAGCCCCCCTAAGAAAACCACCTGTTTCCGTTTTACAACTCAAACAGTATCTCAGCCCTCACACAAATGGAATGATTTATATGGCGCACATCTATTCCGTGCCTTCTTGTACCAATGTTTATGTGTTTAAATAATAATAGTAATAATATGAAGATATGGTGGCTGTTATATCCGAGCAATTGATCAGTCTCTTGTCGGAATATGTGTATCCTGTGTGGGTTGCCTCGATATTACCTTAAGTCATAAGCTTTATAACCGAAGATCGGTGATGGCTAGCAATGGAACCCAGGACGCGCGTCTCTTCTTATTAGGAGGTCGTCAGCTGGATATACCTACGTTTCAGAGTCCATGTGTACTCCGGGACTCGAACCTAGCATCGTTCGGTTCAGTCTTCACCCCATTGCACAAGCAAGTGGCTATCAGCACTCAGTAGCTAAGTGGATAACATGATGGCATTTGAGTCGAACGGTACTAGGTTCGAGTCCTGGACTAGACGTCAAATCCTGGGTGTAGGTAGACACATCCGACGAGTCCAAAATAGGACGAAACGCACGTCTTGGATTCATCTACTAGCTACTGTCCATCTTTGCTTACTGTTCTTAAATTATGTTCAGTTTATTGATTACATTCTCCCATAATCACAGCCACTTTTTAGTTTGATCTTGTATAAATATATATATATATATATATATATATATATATATATATATATTTTATGGTATTGTGCGGTCTGTTTAGCTGGTATATAAACCAATTATGTTTGAGATAAATGATTCTCATAATGAACTCTAGGCTGTTTATACCTAAGATTGAATAAGTCGTATTTTAATGGACGAATAAATCACATGATAACTAATCGAACTTTAAAGGCACAACACAAACGATATTGATTTACCTTTGACAATCTTCATAATATTGTTTTTTTTCCTATTTCCCCCCCCTCCCCAAACAGTATCATAAACTCTTACGAGTCAGTTTACATATCTTCACATATCTATTAAAAAATCCGATTGATGATGTCATAGTTACTATGGTGAAAGAATCAATCAATTGTATATATTTCACATTTGATAATATATTAAATAAATATAATAAATTAGATGATGTTATATTAAAGTCTATTCAATATTATATTGAATGGTTATTCAATGATCAATGTAGGCATATGAATGAATATTTATCATTATTACAATTAGCTACTAATTTATTCTCGAATATATTCGATAAAATCAATATTTTATTGATTAATCAAGTTCAATTGATTGGTGATAATAATGATATATTGTTTGGAAAATGTATTGGTTATACAAAAGAAGAACGTATCAATCATCCTATATCACCTATTTTAATGTCATTTATTGCACAATCTATTACAGAAGAAATTGAAATATCAAGTAGATTTGTTAGACAATTCGTCAATTTCAAATTTCATGTAAGTAAGATATCATGTATTAAAGTAAAGATTAATTTGAATGTATTTATTCTTGAACAATGTGTTTTTCCCTAGAGAGAGGCGACTGAATAGTCGTTTTGGTGAAGTTGATATAGGTAGATAGGTAACAGTTACACATACCCCCCCCCAAATACCCTGGTACAACTGAGAATGAGGAGATTCAACCTTCTATCTCTCTCGAAATGCTCTAACATGGTCACATGCATACAAGCACTGCCAGGGAAGTTCTACTCACTTCATTCTCGTGACATTACTGTTGTTTACGAAATCGAGAGGACGAAAAGTGAATGTCCAGCGCTTTAGCCGAATTGGTGGATATGGAGAATCCACCTGGGGGAGTTGGGAAACCTTGATTCTAAACCAATTGTGTACATGGGCTCAAGGATCCTAAGGAAACAAATAGAGTATGAACCAATCGTTGATCACTGGCTACTATGGGACTGGATCTCCTGATGTTGCTACACTGCCTTTTGAATCAGACCTTTAAGTCGAAGGCCCCGGGTGGGTTCCCTCAAGAAAACCATATGCTTCATTTTGGGCACCCGGACAATATCCTAGCCCTCAGACAAATGGAATGATTTATGTGGGGCATATTTATTTGATCCCTTGTACCTATGTTTTTGTGTTTAAATAAATAAATACACATGCATTCTCTTTCAAAGCACTGGGCAGTAATTATTAAAGCGATGTATACTACATGTTAATTTTTAAACAACAAATGCCAATCCATATAATGATAAAAACTGTAGTTATACCTTGATGTTTTGTGAGTATATTTATCTGATTGAAATTCCGTAAAACAGTGTGATACATACACTGTGTGCAGTTTTCAAAATTTACGGGAACCAAACCCATTGACTACAGAAGTGTGACATCAAGTTAACCACTTGATTGAGTCTAATATTTGTTTGTATGTTTAGTATCACAGTTCATGAATTTTTTTATCAAACCACTTGATAACTGCATGATCGGACTAAAATCTACCAGGCTTTATAATAACCACACTAGGTATACTGTTTATTTACTAAACCTAGTACTGATTATATCATGTGACATGTAGTTTAATATACATTTTGCAATAAATAGACTAAAGGAGGAAATGGTACTTTCTAGTCTAAATATTACATTCACAAACGTTTCATCCATGAAAATACGTTAACTCTTACAGAAAGCAGTATCTTTGTGAATGGTAAAGTGTTGAACAAGATAACTCTTATTTCAGTACTATTTAAAAACTGGGTAAGAGGATATATTGCTCATCAACATTTTCCAGTCAATAAAAAAAAGACAAACTGCTTGAGCATAGTACGAAATCTTTGAAAGACATCAAGAAACTTGCAAATAGATCAGTAACTCACTGAGAAACTGAACATACACAAAAAAGACAAACGAACCCTTACACATATGTATATACCCACACAAATTAGATTAGCGAAATGTTGTATAGCAATCTGCACTGTGCCAACTAATGATTAATAAATATAAATTCATTTATTTTACGACTCCATTATTTTGCATTTTGTAGACACTGATGACATACTTCCATCTATTTTGATCAGTTGTTTCAATTGACCATAAACAGTTTATTTAAAATAATTGACACAACAGTAATAATTAATTTCATTCGCGGTCATATGTATGGTCAAACATCAGATATGCATACTATTATTTTCACATTAATGATTTATATCTACGTCTACAATTTTAACATCTCAACGTAAATGGATAGTGATTTTGTGAATCGATTTATATTCGATCAATTTTGATTATTTCTATAAAGAAGCTCGAATAAAACTACCCTGTGACTTGGTTTCGTGGATTAGTTGAAGTTAGACATTAACACCATGGGATGCCGAATTAGTAGTGTAGAGCGGGACGATAGGTCGTGGGTTCGAATCTCGCGAGGCTGGATCATGTATGCGCACTGCTGAGTCCCACAATAAGACAAAATGGCCGATCAATGATTCCATGGTGGTCTAGCTTCAATTAACTCATGACCTTAAATATTGAAATAAAACTTAATTGTTAAGATTTTTCCTTACAAATACAGTTTGCTTTCTACCCCTTTCATTATGGAAACTGTTCAATTGTAGTTCTTACAAAATGTTAACGCAACATTTTTTTCTCTTCATAAACAAATTTTTTTTTCTAGGAAGAAAAAGAAAATCAACAAAAACAAACTATTTTCAATTTACTTAATGATACACATAGATCATTCAAATTATTTTTATCATTAGCATTTAGTGGTATCAGTGTACCAGAATGGTCAACAGTTGAATCATGTATCCAACTAGCTTGTGATTTATTAACCATATTAACTCATGAAAATAAAACTATTGATCCATTAGTTATTTTAGATGATCAACTATTATTTGAAATTAATGTATGTCTATTATTAATATTGTCTAAAGGTGTACCACCACCTCAAAGACTTATAATCAAATATGCAGAATTTTATTGTTCCTTAGCCAAATTATTTCCATATAAACAATTTGTTTTATTAAGTTTTATAACTGGCAATATACACATTATTAATCAAGAATACAAATTGAAGTTGATACAAATTCCACATTGTAATATTTTAATTGAAATTATAACAGATTGTTTATGTTATACAAGTTTAGCGGAACGAGCACGTTTTGTTACCATAGTAACAAAACCTTTCGTTTCACTTCATAAAGTGACAAGCAGTATAACAACTTTTATGCGTTTATTATCACCACGACCACCACCACCACCACAAAAACTTGAAAAATTGTAAACATAAATTTATTTATTTATATAGATTTATAGATATAAACACAGATGAAATAATAAATATTATACAATGAATTGTTGATTTTCTTTTTCTTCTTCTCCTCTGTTTAATTGTGAACTTTCAACTTGAGTTTCTAAGCCCTATTTATAGAAAAGTTAAGATTACATATGGAAATTATAAAGATCACTTACATTAGTGTAAATCAGGATATCATTAGCTTCACCATTCTCAGTCTGTACTAATATTTCTGAATTATTATCGTTTATTAAGTCTAGATTTTAGAAAGTAAAGAAATTTTTTAAAAATAATGTAAAATTACCAGCTTGATTTACAATTGCTAGTTGAGGTTGACCATTTTCACCTTGAATCATTACTAATGTCTGACCTTCTTCAAGTTGAAGATCATCAGGAAGTATAAATTGTTGTACCACTTCACCACCTTCATCAGTTACATCAATGGTGGTTGTTCCATCGCTTTGAGTTGTAATCTGAGTTCCGCTGAGCATGGCTGTTTGATCTTCTTGTGACTCAATAAGTCGCATAGACTGTGCCTGGTCTGTATCAACGGTCATCATAACCACATCATTATCGGAAATATTGGTAGTTGATGTAGACAATAAGGAAGGTTCACTAATCATGATAATCTTCTGATCTGTAGTTCCATATGGGTTATCACTCTGAAATGAAATATAAATTACGAGTTAGCGTGAAATAATATTTTGCTAGATTGATACTGTTTTAACATGTTACTTGTGTGCCCTGTTCATGTATAACGTAACGATACCGCCAATTAGAGAGCAGTGAATTATCGATCGGACCAATGACGCCTAAAACCCGTGTGAGCAGTCTAGAGTACTTATCGGTCCTGTTTCATGCCTAGCCCTGCCAGTTAAGTCCAGAACACCAATATCAGCTTCTGCGATATGAATCGTTTATTTCAAACATACTAGGTTTATATACCAACCAGACAGACCACATCGTACCATAAAATAGAAAGCAACATTTGTACAAGAATTAGCCAAATGTAGCTGTGAACGTGCGAAGTAGTAATTAATAGATAGGGCATGATTCAAGAATGGTTAATCGTATAATAATAGTTCATAGGTCAGAATAAAGAGGGGCATGAATAGTTTAGTTACCTAACAATTATACGACAAAATTATATGCATAGTATTTGTCCATAAATTGATCCCCAAAGTTATTCATTATGTTTATCGGGGCACAACAGATAGCTATATATAGACCATTAAGAAGTAGTAGGATATTTAAAGTGGAAGACTAGAATATCTCATACCACTTGCAACCGAACTCGGTGAATCTTGAAATATTGAGTTAATTTGGTCTATGTGGGGCAACGGCTTCATCATATGTCTTGATTCCTACTTCCGCCATAAACTTGGGACGTTATCAGAAACAGCTAAAGATAGAAGCGTACTAAGTAAGAAAAGGACGATTATGGACTGCTTTTCTCATATACTAGTCCTTACAATTTACGTTTTTAAACCCGATTGTATACTTCAGCGGCTCATCTTGAGATTTCTGACATCTTTAGACTTCACTAAGATGCTAAATGATTGCGTTCAGAAATTTATAACTGAATGTGATATATTAAGCAGCACTGTGATACTACACATGCCAATTGAACGTAGGTCAGACGGACATGTCTAGTTGTTTTTAGAAAGATACTTTGTTGATGTTTATCACACCTTGGGAATTCATAATTGTTCTCTGAATGTAGGTTTGAAAAGTATGTCCCATATACATCCGGAAACCATGTAAACTTGTTATTTGACGTCAGTGTGATTCTACTAGGGCCGATGTATTTGACTACACTCCCACTAATAGTTGTGAATGTGGGAAGTGCAATCTTTGTAATCACATACGCGCCAACAAATTACAGTACCGAATGCACCGGAATTATGTTTCATTACTACCTTGTCATGTTAGATGAATCGTTTTGCATTTTATTATGTGATTCGACTGAGTCACAATCCCATTAGAACTTCATTAATCTATTATGTGGAGGAAGGGAAATGGGGCTTCACTGGGAACATTCAGAAAGTCACGCCTATAATTCAGATGAACAAATAGAAGTGTCTAGGTTAAGCCGAACAAAAATGTGAGGACAGTGAACTTGACTGGATGTATAATTTACTTACGAAGCCCATATCGTACCTGTATCTTAATCCAGAATATAACCAATCTTGCCTTACATGGCACATTAATCTCTTGCGGCTGGACTGTCGCTGATGTATTAATGAGCTTCCTTACCCTACAATTCAAACTGATCATATATTTTAATCAAATACCGCTAGTGCGAATGTATTCCGAACCGGGCATTTTTTTATTTTTTGTCATGTTTTAGTATAAACAAAAATACTTTTTAATAATTAACAAGTTAAACGCGGTTGTAGGTTGCAAAGAGTGACCACGGTGAATATAGAGAGGAGTATCAGAAAGTAAAACAAGTTGGGAACCGTAAAGAATTAAGAACAATATGTAACTAGAGCTCAATTTTCTAAGTGTGCCGAACAGGTTGATGAACTAAACTGTGCCAATCAGAAATTGGCCATTGCTTATATATATATATATACTATGCCTCGGTTCAGTTTTAGGTTCGCATATAAGAAGTTTGTGTGTCAGTATCATAGTCGAAGGTCACAAAAAAAGAACACTCATGAAACATGCCGCTGATTAAGAATTCATACCTAAATAGTCAAGATCTTTTTTGCATTTCTACTCGGCTAAGACTTCATTTGTGATTTTCAGTAATCTAAATTCGTAAAAAGTTTAAAAGACGATAAGGTATCAACCTACTTCATTTCGATCCGACTCTTGATGTTTTTCAGAAGCTTCACTTTGTCTAGCTTCTGTCTGTGCAAATGATATTGACATGTCTGGACGCAGCGTTGCAGTTAGTGTTCCACATTCTTCAACAAGGTGTCGTGCAAGACTATTGCCATCTAGGTTACTTGTTCCACAGTGTGAACAGTATAGAAGTCGTGAATCGACTTGACTTTCCATATATCTTCTTATAGAGTCATTCGGGTTAGGCTGCTTCGTTAAACTTTGCTTCTCAGTTTCTGGTACATTCACAACATTGCCCAATTCGTCAGTAAAGACAATTGTTGTAAAATTTCCCATGTCACTAGGTGTCAAATCCGTAATCTCATTTACGACAAGATCTTGTCGATCACCTGAAACAGTCGCTAGTCCCGATGACGCATTGTCGTTGCATGGAAGATTGTATTCATTGCACCAGTCGAAAAAGATCTGACGAACCATTGGCATACCACAATCAAGATCTGTTGATTGAGAAGCATTCGAATAGACATGAAGTTTTTGAAAATGACGCTGAAAGCCAACACTACAGCATGTTGCAAATCTGCACACGGAACACGGTAAATATTGCCTGCAAACAAGATTATTGTTGAAGTGGAGATAAAAGAGGGTTTACCATTAAATGGCTTAAAAGATTTATTGAAAAAGTAAATATTAAAAATTGCTTGTATTTGTTATTTTGAAGGTCTTCGTTGGATCATACGACCTGGAAAACATATATTTAGTATTTATGGCGCTTATTTCAATCTAATGTAGTTAGAATCGTTCAAAAGTCTAAGATATTGTACATTCATAGCACTCTAATTGCTCTAGTTAAACAATCTTATAACCCCATACTTACTACATTCAGTAATTTATCCAAGTGAGATCGATATAATAAGTGAGTGAATATTATTATCTTAACAGTCACATAAAGGCAGTTGTTCCATTTTTCTATAGATTTTGCTGTAGGGCAAATGAAATAGTTCTTCTTCGTGGTTTTATTTGATTTTTATACACCAATTATGTGATCGATATTTCAAACACTTACGCATGTTCAGAATCACCCATACGTTTTCCACACTCCAGACATTCCAAACTCTCAATATTCTCAGGTAAGAAGTTTATAGCTAAGTTTTTTGCACAACCAGCCTCCGGAGCATTCATTGATGTTACATGTGGTCGAACTATACGAATCGAATCTATGGATGTGTTGTGATCGCCGAAGTTCTCAGTAGCCTGTGTCGTATGTTGTTTTGTTTGATAACATTCTAGCTATGAAAAATTGAATAATAGTTAAGAAATTAGGTTTGAAATAGTTAAGGTAAGAAAAATGAGTGGGTAGAATTATAGCCGCTTACTGATATTTATTAGAAGGGCATTCTATTTATATTTATATGAGAGGATTGGTGTAATTCAGTAACCAAGTAAATTAATTCTACCTGACTTTGAGTCATACTCACTTTTTAGGAGAAAGCTGAAGCTAGTGACGTCGAAAATAAATGTAATTCAAATCCGAAAACCAGCATTCAAAATTTAAATGCTTGATTCACTAAGTCATTAAAATAACTGTGTTTGTGTTAAAGACAGAACGACCAATACTGTCGACAATCTACTGTTAAGCTAGAAAAACTAGTGATTCTGGAAATCAAGTCCAGGTTGGTGCATATACATACACACACTAAAGTTAGCGGCACAATATTGATTCGATTAAATATTCTTTTTCATATACAAAGCTTCTGTAGATGGTTGACACGTTTCCTTCTAGTCAGTGAGTGGTTACAAATCTCCAGTGCGAACTATACTCGTCTGTAGAATCAACCATTACTAACAACTGAAGATAAAAAATTCTTGTAAGTCCATCCAGCGCTGATGGATAATGCTGGACTTAACTTGGTTTGATATTTGTGTGACCAATTCGTTTTTTAATATTAAATACTGTTTCCGTTCACTTATCCCTTATACGGCTCTTCCCTTTTGTATTTTTTCGTAATTATATTACTCCATTTTGTACGACACATTTTTGTTGTTCTGATTTATTATCTACGCCACAAAATTCGAGTACAAACCTATTTCCTGTTTTTCCAATTATTATGTATTGTGCCTCGACGTTTAATGCAACAAAGTCATGTCGCCAGATGTTCAATCTTTTTTGACCATTCAGTTTAACAAGTGTTGTTTATGTATCCAGTTTTGTTATAAAACTAGTTAAGCATACACTTTACAACTCACTTATAAATTGTAAATAGGGAAATCAAGTAAATTACTTTGAACAACTAACCTCATATGAATCTTGACGAAGATCTGGCTTCTCAGTACCTAGGTCTCTTGTGGCTTTATGATCTAGGCGTCGATGTACTTGGTAGTCTGATTTATTAGTGAAATTTAAACGGCACGTTGGACATCGACGAAGTTGGTGTTTGATCTGATGCAGACGTAAATGTTGAAGATAAACTTGCGTCTGACCAACACCTAAACCTAGGCCTACAGTACTTATCCCACCAGAAGCTGACAGACAAACTGGTTGAGCGTTCGAACGCGCATCCGAAGGGGTAAATATACGAAGGCAATAGGTACAAAGTAAATGGTTTGAGCTATCATGCATCTGTAACAAAAAAGATCATATGATTATGAAACTGTATAGGATTAACGAAGTAGATACTAACGAGTTATAAAATATATTAGAGATGTGGTTGCACTTATAGGATATCATAGAAATAGGGATAGATTTTACTTGTAGCTTATCACAATTTCTGCAGGATTCTTACAACTACTTGACACCCATCACTTTATGTCGGTGGATCGTATGACAATGGGCGTAGACTTTCTACGCATAGAATCCCACAACGCAAGTATAAGGATAGCAAAACTTGGTAATAACAGTGTTAAGGAGTTGGAAGAAGCAGGTGCATCGTACAACTCGCATACTTTGTTCTGACCCACCAGAGTCACTAACAACAAGAAGCCTGATATCAGTAGAACAGTTCATGTGATTAATGCCTCTCCAATTAGTAACATACGTTTGGGTGTCAACCGCACTGTCATGTGCTAAAAGAGGATAGTCTGATCAACTTTGTTGGAAAAATAAACCTACCTTGTGTAGCACATGCTTTTGGTTACTAATTGTATAAACAATTTCTGTTACAGAAAAAGTACGAATGCGATAAACAAGGAACTGCAACCTCCTTTGTCCTATCAAGTTTTTACAATAACATCTATTCGGACAGCCCATAGGCGGTTGTTGAAAAAAATTAATCTAACTTATAGTATTAACGAAGCGACATGAAGTAAAATGTGGAAGAAAAGGATTGATAAACTAAGTTAGAACGGGGAATAAAATTTGATATATAGGTGTGTTACTAACATGACAGTGGAGAAAATCCGCATCCAATGTCAGCTGGTGAAACATCTAATCTTGTTGTTTTTTACGGAATGAAAACAATGTAGTTTCCTGAAGTAAAATAATTATACCATATTGCTTAAAATGAAGTGGAGTGATCATCAAATCATTTTACAAGGGCAAGACGAGTGAACTGAAGTTTGGAAAAAAGTGAATAAAAAAAATGGGGTAGCTATCCCCAGAAAGGTATATTACGAGAAGACTTTTATACAAAAGACGTTTCCTATTTTGAAAGTAATATAAAAGGCTTAAGATACTATATGACAAACTTGGATTCTCGTTCATAACTAGTCATTAGTCATATGTTAAGCAATTCATAGTCATACCATCAGTGGGAGAGATTTGAACTTACCACTTTGCTATCATAACTGAGTTATATAATGGACACGGCAGTGCTATTAATGAGACGAAGCGATTTCTGGTGAGTAAAAAACGCTAGTTGGGGCATTAGAGCGAATGTCTATCGTAGCATAGATAATACATTGGAAATTTTTACCGGTGGATATATTGAATTAAAATTTTAGTTTCCAAAGCTTGAAATTGTTTTCATAATATGCCCTTCACAATACATGATAAGTTTATCGTAGATGTAGACTACCTGGTTGGGATCCGCGAGACGATAGCAAACGATATTTGGAGACCTTGAATGATATGGCTCAAAATCGTTTGCAGCGGCGTAGTTGTATCCACTCTTTGTGTTCTCTCAAATTCTAATCTTATGAGCTGTTCATGTCCTTTTTTTCTCTTTCCAAATTTATTTCACTGGATTATACTGTATAAATAACATCTTCAAACTTTAATGTTTTCGATTACCGTTCTTATACTCTTACTACCTCTACCGCTAGGGGATTTGGAATCTACAATTGTATCTGTGTGCTAATGTGGTATGACAACTCGAACTGATGTACGTACGTACGAAGTTCTACGTTGTTGCTAAATGACTGACTGACTATCGCACAATCATTCCTTCTTGAATGAGGGGAAATACAAATAATTGAGATGGGAAACGAACCAATAAAACAAACCTTTTTGAAGTGATCCAGTATGTCTTCATACATAGATGATCGAAACAAGCATAGGCGACAAACATAAGGCATTTCACGTTGACGATGAGTGGACTGAAGGTGATGTGCTAATAGTAATTTGCTGGCAGAAACTTTCCCACAAATGCGGCAACTGGGTGTATTTGTGATACCATTAAAGTTTGGTGCTAAAATCTCCATATGGTCAAAATTACTGACAGGATCATCATGACCATCTCCTATTCGTTGTTGAGTTAGTAGCTGGGAGGTGATTTGAACAAGGGGGTTCGTTTTTGCTTCATCATCTACCAAATTTGAATCAGAAGTTGGAACAGTATGCTCCTATAGGTATTACAAGAAAGACAAAAAAGCGACCTCATTAGAAACCGGCCACACATTATCAAACCACAAAGAATGTGAAAAAATCATACCATTTCTATAGACCTTAACACTATATTAGTTCAAGAGGTATTTTGGTAGAAGGTAGTCTACAGTATAAAATATCCACTTAAATATATTGAGTTATACAAGGATAAGTTAACTTGAAAATGTTTAAATACAAAATTTTAGATACACAAATAAACATGATTAATTGTCGCAAGCTTTTCGAGGATATGAATTTTGTAGGCTATTCACAAACATGACTGTTAGGGTATGCTTTTGTACGCCATATCACAAAAAATACGATTACTAATTGAAACAAAAGTTATGAGAGCCATGGAGAAGGTCTATTAAATAAAATAATGATAATAATACCAACAAAAACCAATTATTCAAGCTTCGCGAGTAGTTCGACCAAGGACAAGTATTTCAAGCTCTTAGTCATCAAAACAGCTAAATATTAGTTAACAGATAGACAAATAAAAAGAAAAACTGGTTGCCATGTAAGTTGAATATGGTTGCAAAAATTAATAGTGAAAATGAAATAAAACACTAGTTCCATTGGAGTTGTGCGTAAACAACAAAGTGATATGAGAAAAAGACGAAATAGTTTAATGCTAAGGGGTTTGTATGAATTACTGACAACTGAAGACGAATTATGATTAGTAGCACTTCAAAATAAAGAATTATAAATAAATAATTCATAACTCACTTTTTCAATGTGATCTCTTAGATCAAAAGCACAAGAGAACATTTGATTACAAACGGAACATTGTGTAGTATCTGCAGTGTCTAGGCAAGCTTGTGAAGCCTCATCAACATGACCAAGAATATGAGACATTAATTTCGTATTTGAGTAGAAAATCCGTTGACAAACCGCACATTTAAATCTGAAATCACCTTTTTCTTCCACATAATCAGCATTTCCATCTTGGCGCCCAAAATAATACTCGTCGATTGGAATGTACTTAACTAAATGATTTTAAATAGGATTGAATGATAAAATAGGTAATAAACAATATTGTGAGGCTTACGAACTCCAGATGAGCTAAGTTAGGAATAAAATAGTTCTAGGAAATAACCGCAGGATAGTTATTTTATCGAGTTCAGTGTTAACGGAATTTTACGAATTATGTTTTTAATATGGCTACTGAGCAAATGAAGTTACTTACGCCATGGTGTGATTGAAAGTTAAGAACAGAAAACTCTTATATAACATGGTCACGTGTTTGTTCGGACAAGTATTTTGAAAAAAAAAAACATAAATTGGCATTATTGGGAACTATAGACAGAAATTCTAAGGATTTCCAATGTATAGAACCTATAAATTATTAACAGGGTATTGAAAACCTAATCAGTATGTTTCTCACCGCGTATCGTATTTTAGGGGTGTTTAAAAGGTATCTAGATGAAGATCACACACTTCTTAGACAGTTTTTCGTTTACTTTTCCTAATAAATGATGGTTATGATATACAAGGAAGGCCTTGGTAACTTTAAACTGAACCACACTGACCTTTACTATTAGCTAACTAGTTAGTTTTGCTTTGAGTTTATGATTTTCCTGTGTTCTTAAGCCATAGATATTGTTGTACGTAGGTTGTTATATGACATCTTGAATTCCGTAGAATAGCAAGCTTTCAGACCGAACCATGACATATCTTGCAATCCTTAATAATTAGCGATAATCTTACGAAGAACCCTATTTGATGTCATTTTTACCGACAATCACGTTTTCTGAATTGATAAAACTATGTGGAGGAGCACTGAACTGTCAGTAAATTCAAACAAATGAATGTATATTATATACATAGGGCATAGAATTCAGTTTTCTTTCTGATTTTATGAATTTGCAAAATCGTTAGAAATAGTATGTAGACAATTTGGGGTCAACAATGGATTTCTAAGAACAAATTAACGAAATTATCAATCTTACTCACCTCCTTTACCATCTTTACATGGCTTTTTAACTGATAAACCCTTAAATGATTGAACTATTTCAATGCTTCCTTCTGGACCAGAATTTATGATATTGACTTCTGGTTCTGGAGCATCTTCATCTACATCTGCAGCATTACGAAAAACAATAGTAGGCGGTAAGAAAGTTCGTAGTGGCCGGACAGAACCGTGAAGTTTTGCTCGTTCACCTTCAACAAAGCATTCTGAAATATGAACTGCGGGCCAGTCAGAACGAATAGGTTTTTCAGAATCTAAAAACTCATCAGGAATAGGAACATGAGCCTTAACTATGGCTACTTCACCCTCTGAAACATGAAAATTAATGTAACATAGAAGTCTACCTTCAGAAATAGGAAATTCCCAATTATTTTGCTGCAGCGTATTATACACAGATATCGCCCCGGCATGTTGAAGTGCGTTTAAGGACTCTCCAGTTAGTAAACCATGCTCTCCTATTGTGACAGCCTCTTCTGTCACGCATACATTGCTACAAAGCGCAAGGCGACTGACTGCATCCAAAAATGTGCGGTATTCTCTAAGAGAAATAGTAGAAATGAATTTATGAGTCCATTTATCATACTGGACGAATAGCAACTATGAACAAAGTTTCATTACACTAGAACATTCAGTTCCCCAATAAACATGTTAGTACATATACTTATCGAATGAGAAAACTTATAGTCCTACTTTTTAGGACACTGTACCTGAACTTAAACTTATAACCTGGTATTAAAATACGTTGAGGACTGCTATGTCATTCAGTGATAGGACAATTAAGATGGGCGTCTTGATAAGGATAGTCGTTATATAGGCCAGCGATACTGTCATAATATGTTACTTACGGGCGAGTTCGATAGTAGGCTTACTATAACTGTTTTTGTTATAGAGAGAGAAGTATCTAATGGCAATGTTAATATTGTTAACAATAACACTCTTCTCTTTGAGCCCCAGCTTCAATGTACATTCACCATTCGGAAACGTTATACATCGGTCTAGGCGCTGACCAACTACAAAACATCCATAACAACCTGCTTTCTCATTGTGATCAACTGTACCTAATGTCCAAACGAGCAAGTGCGTCACAGATTACAGCAACTAGTTTAATAGCCATGTATTTATTGAACCCAACACGATGCAACCCTGGGTCACCTATCTCGCTTAATTCAGAGATGGTTTCTGCAGATATTTCATTAAATTCCACCGGTTTAGTATTCTCTCTATAGATACCTATCATAAACATGTTACTAAACCTAGGGGCAATCATGTGTCATAATATAGGCCATGACTGTTGACTAGAGCTCCTTGAAAAAGAAAGTCTGTCTACGCAGATATGCAAGTTCAACGTATCAAAACCACAGCTACACAACCAAAGTTCTACATATCTAAGCAGGTTGGTTTTCAATTCTAGATGATAGTAAACATGATTGCTGATGAACTTAGGTTGGACGCTTGTGATCTTTCGTAGGAAACTTCTGTTCCTTGGTTGTAGAAAGAAAACAGGTAATGTGAGTACTAACTTAAGATGATAACCTTTCACTGCTGTTATGTAGGTGAAGTGTTTAGTATTAAAAAACATTAACGTAAGTCGCACATTATGTCGGCAGTTGGAAACTGTTGTCAGTTTGTTTGTTAAATTCCAGAACACAGAGGAGGGATGCTTATATTCGGAGTAGTAACAATGCAGTTTGAGAAGGGTGTTGTTTTAGAAATTTGTTTTAATGTTAGACCTGATTTCCTTTTAAAGTCTTCTCTTGCCGTGGATTACTTTTTCACTTGTATGTAATATGCTGAAACTGACAAAGTATATGTTATGTTTTATTTCATATGCACAAAGCAAATAGGACACATTTTGAATAAACAACACACTGGCTGTGATTTCTTCTGCAGATCTTTGTAAATGACAGTGGAACTTTGCACTAACAACAGAAATATGTAACGAGCATCTGTCTCTTATTAATCTAGTAAACTATGTCATTATTTCCTATCAAATAATGTCTTGAACAATGTATCTTTATTCGATCAAGTCAGCGTATGCCTTAGGGTATTCTGTATTAGAAGTAAAAGCGAACATACGAAACATTTGTGGCTAAGCGAAAGGTAGACAATTACGCCTACATTTGGGCGAGATGTTTTGATGATATTTCGAAGGAGAAGCGACCAAAAGTGAAGTCAAGGGAAGCTTCTAGTCAGGTATTCCGTTTTTTTAAATTCCCGATGAGACCTCTCCACCCCCCCTTGCCCGGTAATATTTCTCACTGTCTCGGTAACTTGGGGGGTTAGTTTATTAACAGAAAACTGTGACACATTACATGAAACAATAAATACTGAATGATAAATATAAGCACTAAGCCCCTTATTAATGAAGCGGACAAAAGTAAACATCCTCGATAAAGAAATAATTGTTACAAGATTGGTATGGATTTTTAAATATAATTAGACTGTAACTTGAAGACATAACTTACTGTAGGCGTGTTTGATAAGCCTTTATTTGTGCATCTGATAATGATTCATCATCACAAATGAGTGATAATGTAGCAAGACATCTCTTACGATGATCTGTTCTGTACGGCAGAGGAGCAAAAGGCTGCGACATTATGACCTTGAGACTAAAGTATATATCTAAACAAACCCATGATATAATATCGCATGAAAATTCTCAGCCCTTAATTAATTTTTAGTGATAGATATGGAAAGTTGTATGGAGCGTATATATTCTTTGAAGTTATAAAATTACTAATATTCATTTCTGAATTCACTATGACTTGAAAAAAGCAGTTTAGAGACAAAAACAAAATGGCACTCAGTCCCTTTGGTTATTTTTGTGTTCCACATGAGGAATGGATAATTGGTAATATTTAAGCATCGACAAACGGTGGTGATACTACGTGTTCATGACTTCATAAGTACCAGTATTTGAAAATGAGTTACGAGACTTAAATGAAAACAATTTTCGTTTCTGAACTTTCTGTGACTTTCCCTTCTTTCGCTTAGTCTTAAAAGGAGAAATTGGTGATTTATTATTCAGAACATCCGGTATTTGAAAATCATCGTATCGCCGTAATTGTGCAAACGTTCTTTACATCAAAATCCGCTCGATTTTCGAACTGGGTCCGTTACCTTTTCCGAAATGGTCCAAGAATTAAGTCTTGTTTCAGACCCTATTGTATTGCATATTTGGTCGTGCCTTCACAATTATGCCTACAATGATGCTTTATTTGCAGCTGAAAGATTATATGCTGAAACACACAATAGCGAAAGCCTTTATATACTGGCAACCAGTTTGTATCGAATCGGCAGGCCGAGACAAGTTAATAAACTACTCAACTCTGTCAATTCGTTATCTCCTAAGAGTCGGTTAGTTTCTTAAAAATGGATTTACATTCGCTTATTAGATACTTGCTTGCAAAATGCTACTATGACATTGGTTCACTAACGGAGGCTGAAGATGCTATACTATTTTCTGGTCTTTCTTCTTCGTCCCTAGACGAGATAACCAGTACTTATGAAGAACAATCTTGCTACGTTTTGCTACTTCTAGGGGATATTTGCAAACATCAAGGAAGACTTAGTGATGCTATTATTTACTACAAAAAATGTCTCGAAATGAATCCTCTTATGTGGTCTGCATTTAAAAACCTCTGTAATATCGGTGAATATGTTGAGCCTTCCTCTGTTTTCCAGAATCCTAGCGGGCTTAAACTTACAACACCTGTGTATGCCGTTATGCTCGACGATCTACACAGTAATCCGTATGAAAGTGCTTCACGAGAAAATGTCAACCCTCAAAACTGTGAGTCTTTTACCACTCAGGCTTTAATGTCGTCAAAAGATTGTGAAAGTAGTGATCAGGAAACATTTGTTGATACAGATTGTCTGTACACCAATCAACGTCATTTTGTCTCGTTTTGCTCTAGAAGCTTTATTGGTGATTTGGTACCTTCTCTTAAACCTGTAGACGTTCATACCCCAGACAAGGTTATGCCTTCTGCTTTGTCTCCGAAAGCTCCAAAACCTGTTAACCGAGTTGCACGCAAATTGGCACAAAATGTAAACTCGCAGTCCATGAAACCAAATGTACCTCGTTTTGGTTTACTTTCTTTTTTTCCTCAAAGTCCCATGTTCGCTTGTGTTCCCGTAAGTTCATGCTCTTTCTTAGTGTGTTATCAGTGTCCCTCATTTTGCTTTTTAAGCTCATTTTCGAAACCAGTATCTATCTATTTTTCTTAAACTTTATTAAGTTCTCTATATTTATTACTCAATGTGATGAATTAGTGTAAAATTGTTGTGAGCAACATGTATCAAGATATCTCTAGTCGCTTAAACATAATAATCCTATCAGAAGAGTGGTTGGCTGTTTGTATTTTGGGGACAGTTGAGGGACTTGTGACAACAATGAAGACTGTTATGTTGAGTTGCTGTCAAGCGACTCGATCTATAGTTATACATAGCTAATATAATATAAAGGCATGATATGTTTCTTAATCCATTGTATGGAGACTATAGTTTAGGAAGCGATATGTAACGTAGTGATAAAGGAAGACATAAGACAGTTCACAACGGAAGAATTCGGAAAACTGGCAAATGCGATGGCAACTTGTCCCATCTGTTTATTCTCTGTTCCTAGAGGAGATGCGTATTCGGAATGGATAGATATTGATATAACCTAAAGGTATTTACCAATAGGTTTATGGCTACTTCAGTTGGTAATATTCCAGAGCACACAAAACCATGATGCGAGATAATGAAATTGCTTAGCTTTTGGAATCTCCTCGACGTATGTAGGATTCATTTGTTTGGATTCCCGAAGTTACTCGGTGTACTGTTTACTGTTGTATGGTGGATTGACGGATAGGTCGTCAACCGCCCTTCATTAGCTCGATGACTAGATTTCTGCCTTGGGCTTCTCGTTGCCTCACAAATACCACCTAGAATAGTGATTGTTCTCACTAGTTTTTGATAATTGTCATTGGACAAGAAGTCCCACTCGAAGAGCGATAATGTGTGAGATACTACCTCTATAACCAGCCGCTATCTTTAAAACCATTTTAACTGAATATCATCATGTTTGAAGTATTCGTCTCTGAAGTTTCTACTTGACCACCATATCCATGTCATCCTAACCTACAAATTTTGAAATGATTGTTCAGGAATCACATCGTTTCTTGTATGATTTCATAGTTCATTTCGCTATCATATTTTAGGTATTTTCAAAAATATCTGAGAATCAAACTACATCTCCGGAATCAATCCTCTCGAAAGCTGTGCAGTTGCCTTCAAGTCAGTGCTTACCAGAGTTACAGTTTACTCTTAACTCATTAAATAATAGCCAAAATGATATAACCTGTTTCCAAATCCCTCGTCAGCGAAATGATACTTCATGCAACAACAACACAACTATGGGGACTAAAAGGGCCCCTCATATTGATGAATCGAATGGAGACAGAAATGCTGCATATAACGTCAAAATTAATACATCTGTTACCTCTTCAGAGAAATCTAATGCTCTCTCCGATACACCGACCAGTGCTCTACGTCATCTTGTCTCCACTGCAGCATCTAATCTTGGTTTTCTAACGCTTGAGCCAAATGTTACTTCAACTACCACCTCTCTTGTCAGCACACCAAGTGCCCGTCTTGAGCCACCTCTTCTACGTAGTACTTCTCAACGCAATTTGTATCCTACGCCCAGCGCCCGCCACAACCGCGATTCTCTCTCAGTATTAAGATCAAATTTGCAGTTTTTCAATCCTGCTTCTCAAAGTCCTGGCATGTTGACTTCTTCTTCAACACCAAGACCACTTTCGAGTCAACAAACATCTACGGGGTGTCGAGCTGTCGAGAACATCACTTCTGTAGACATTTCTACAGGTGGACCTCGGACAAGGTCTCAGGTTGCAGCAGCTGCAGCTGTAGCCAGAGCTTCTGGGATTCAGAGAAAGTCGAATAGATTTTTAAGAAGCCGAGGTCAGAACCGCAAGTTTGATTCTAAATTACTACTATCGGACTCGACGGGAAACTCTGCAAACATTCAACCTAAAATAACCTGTTCAGGTGTATATCCTGACCCCAGTTCCTTTAAAAGTATACATACTTCTACAAATGAAGATGCACCAGATTTCGGATGCAGCAATCATTATAATGCACCCTTGTCAATCGATGCCCCACCTATAACAGATGACCCGAGAATGCTCTCACTACAACAGTATTTAAACTTGTTAAGTCAACTTGGCAAAGCTTATCAGATGTTGGTGCGACATCAGTGGCGTTCAGCTACCCGTCTACTTTTAAAACTTCCAAGCTCTCAACTTCATACTGGTCGTGTTTTGGCGTGGGCAGCTCGTGCTCATATGGATAATTCAGATTATCAAACAGCTCATAAGTTGTTCAATGAAGCTCGTCGTATGGAACCATGGCAGCTATCTGGAATGGACTTCTACTCGACAGTATTATGGCAAGTCCAAGCTGATCAGGAATTATCACAATTAGCTCATGATTTATTAGAACTTGATCGTAATGCTCCTGAACCTTGGTGCGTAGCAGGTAATTGTTTCTCTTTGCAAGGTGAACATGAAGCGGCTATTAAATTCTTCCGTCGTGCTCTTCAGGTAAATAGTTTTTTTCGACTCAGTGTACAATACTACTTTATCATTTCCCTCTATGCCTTTCCCACATAGCTTATAAAAATAGCCAGTAACTTCATGTTGTACTACATTCTTTTGTATTTTGTATTTTTTTCTGTTTCAGTGGATGAAAACAATAAATAGGTATAACTTAAAAGTAATAAGTTTCCCGTCACATTTTAGGTGACTGTGGTCTTCATCATTGTGAGCCATTAGTATCTTTTGAGCATTCTCAAGACCACAACTCAATTCATATCTTTCGTGTATGTTTACTGATTTTATTCATTGGGTTTGTTTCTGATTACATGAAAACGTTACAGTTATGGTATTAAACATGCAGAGCTAAACAGTGAAAACTGGAAAGGCTTCTTTTCAAACAACCTGTATACATGAATTTGGGAAAATGAAATTTATGTTGTGAGGATAATATTTCATATACTACATACAGCGATTCCTTGACATTATATCTGTTTCGGTTTAAGAACATAAGTTGTATTGTAACTATACTGGTTAGTCCTCAAGAAATCTATTCGTTCTTAATTAATGAAATTAAGCAGTTAAATCACATTAAGCATTTCTAGATTTGCCTTTTATATTATCAATCTTTACCGGGTTACTTACAGGCTCGTCAGTTTACTTAATTCTTTTTACTGATGCTCGGGACTTTAAATGATTGTCCTGTCGTTTATGCTTTCGTTTTCTAGGTTTCACCTACGAGTGCTTATGCTTGGACACTTTTGGGTCATGAACAGTCAACTCTAGAAGAGTTTGATCGAGCACTAGCAGCTTTCCAGTTCGCCTTAAGAATTGATCCAAGACATTATAATGCTTTGTTCGGCATCAGTAATGTTTATTACAAACAAGAAAAGTTCGATCTTGCCGAAAATTACTTGGTTCGCGCAGTTGCACTTTTCCCTCAGTCGCATTTACTTTTGACTCATCTTGCAGCTTTACGCAGTCGACTAGGTAGGCTTGATGATGGGTATGGAAGTGCAATGGATCTGATTAGTCGTGCTTGTAAAATTCAACCCAACAATCCACTAGCTCGCTACCACAAAGCATCTATTTTATATCACCTTGGACGTTATTCTGTAAGTCTTAATAAATATAGGTAATGAATAGGTTGTATTCCTTTAAGTAGTTGAATTAGTCTATTGCCAATTCGTTTTTTTTTCATGATTCACTCATACTGACTTTATCAATGGATTTCAGACTCATTTGTCAATATAAGTCAGTAAAAAAATTTTTAGTCAATTAAATTAACACGCTAGGTACTTGGATATGTGCGACAATCTTTGAAAATCAAATTTACTTTATTTTCATATCTGACTTGTTGAATAAAATACCGATCCTATCAACAGTTCCTTGTGCCTGTATATTATTAATATCCTTCAAATATACGAACATGAATTTACTGGCTTATTTGATTTCTGGGTTTTCTTTGATTTACCTACACATTATTCTAAGTGAATACATTAATTAGTCATTTGGGGGAAAAGTATGTTAAAACAATATCTTCAGGCTTAAAAACAATTGTAAGAGTGGTTTTACATATGAAATTCTCATTATTCGCTAATTCTCGACTTTTTGGTGTTTATCTTCAATCATGAACTGTTAGATAATTATAGCTTAATTACCACTATATAGAGCTAATCCGTGTCGGGTAGAGATAGGTATCTACCGCACTACAATGGAAGATGGTCACGCAATTTTGTGGATTGCTTGAGGTTAGACATTAATACCGTTGGGTGCCGGCCCAGTGATCTAGTAGGTTAGGCGTTCGCACGCGAGACTGAAGGCCCTGGGTTCGAATTCCGCGAGCGGGATCGTGGATGCGTACTACTGAGGAGTCCCACAATGGGATGAAACGGCCGTCCAGTGCTTCCAGGTTTTCAATGTTGGTTTAACGTCAATCGGTTCAAGATCTCAAGCAATAACTATGGTATAATTTCTCGTTATCGTGGTTCAAATATATCTCCGACATTTTGGTTTCTTATTGTCCCTCTACATTGTTTTAGGACACAATTTAAAAAACTATTTGACTAGACACTTTCTTTTCTGGTCGATTTTAGACGAAACCGAGTGGATCATATATCAATCATATATATATATATATATATATATATATTTGCAATGATATGATAACAGTGTAGGCTGTAGTCACTGAAAATTAAAATTACTTGTAGAACTCAACGTAATAGAATGACGATTGCATCTGTTAACGGTAAGCATCACTCTGGAACTTTTACATACATTTGATTGTCCGATTCATCTATCCAAATCTTTATCATATCTTCTGGTTTATGCAGTATCTTGTTTCTTACTTCTTTAATGGTATGATGATGTCATATCTATGATATTAATGGAGATGGACCCAAAGGAGAATAATTCTACATTTCAATATGTTATTCCATATAATGTTTCATTAAGTGAGGCTTTTTTGTGTCCTAAATTTTATCCGATTAAAATTTTAAAGTACTTTACATTGTTTGTTGTCCTCCTGATTAGGAAGTATTATCGGAGCTTCAAAAACTTTTGGTTTTAACTCCACGTGAGGCTATGGTTTACTTGATGATTGGACACACCTACAAAAAACTGGGAAATACACCACAAGCAATGATTCATTACTCATGGGCTATGGAGCTTGATCCTAAGGGTGCTAACAGTCATCTGAGAGATATAATGACCAACCCACCAATTTCAAGTCGCGGGATGAATCGACAAGACACTTCCGAGTCAGGGGGTTGCGTGGGGGGCCAAAACACCGGCAACTCGGCCAGACCACATTTCAGCTCATTTCAACTTGGTGTTTGTGCTAACTTCGAAGAAGAGGATGGTAATGAGATCATTGACCGAGCTTCAGGAGCAGATGAAGAAATGGTAAACAGTTTGCTTCATCCATCACAAAGTGTGACTCGTTCAAACTTAGTTCGCCGACTGACTGATTTCTCGTTACTGTATGAAATGGAAGGATATGAACAGGACCCTGTAATATCTGATGCAGATGAGGAGCACTACGACACGATGGATTTGAGTGGTGGAGTTGATAGTAGAACTGAGCGCAGCGTACCAGACGACTGAAGCAACTACCTTCGTCTTCTCTTATGTGATATTGATGAAACACCACTTTTTATTTCCATCCCTTAATTTTGGTCAGTCTTATTTACTTTCATATAAAACATATACAGGTTTCGACTCAAAGCCCAACGTGTATAAAGTTTTATTGCACATGCGTTGTATCGAATTTTCATATAAATATATGATCATTACAAAACTAAAAGCAGTTGTACATATGCCTTTTATTTTAATTTGGTAAGAAATATTCAGCTACAGTCCTTACACTATATATAAGTAACACCTATTTTGAAATTCCATCATTTACCTATTTGTTTTCAGGTACAATCATTTCATCAGTAGTGTGTGCTTATATCTATGTAGATGTTTTATGAATCTATACCGGCTAAAACAGTCAAGTTAAGCTTTTCTAGTGCTCAGCTTCATCACACTACCTACATAAACAGGTCATTATAAAACTGTGGGTAATGTTTATATTCTATAGAACACTAGTTCTTGCTAGAGTATAATGTCGCTCAGTTATAGATGATGTAACCCATCACATAAGCACAGGAAACTAGCAAGTTAAGCGGAAAAAATGAATGAAAGTAGCCTGTCGGATCATATTATTAACTTGTTCATCTATAACATGGACAGACTTGATCTACCCATTTAGATTTAGATGTCCTATCGGATTTTCATCAATACGAAGGTACCTTTCCAAAGGTAGTTTTCATATGCAGGAGAGAAGTACGTCAAACTCAAATAAGTAAGAGCACCAACCAACTAGTTAATAGTAACTTGCAATGTGAAATTCTCATGGACGTTACTGACAGCTAGGCGATTCTTGTCATAAGGCGGAAATTGTTGTTTCAGGAATTCAGTTTGAGCCTATGATTATCTTCGTTTATATCATATGACCTTCAAGCACCTGGACTTAATATCGTTGATAAGAGATAATGCATTTTTCCTCCGCGTATCGGTCTCAATGTAACTAAGTATTAGAGCATTATGCTTTTAGTATGTCGCTAAGCCTAATGCACTAGTTTACAGTTTAAGATAAGCATACAGATGATTTGTTTCATGAGTGAAAAATGGATGTAATCTGTCATCTTACAGCTTTTATTTACGATTCTGGGTTTCGTAGAAGCTTATTTTTGATTCAGGAACACTACAGAAGAAGCTTTAGTGCTGTGGAATAGAAAATAAATATGAGCTATACTTTACTACCACTAGTCTATCGGTCACAGATATACATAAAATTCATTATCAGAAATACCGTATTTAATATGAATTCTACAAAGCCTGGTACTGTCTCGTATTCTAAAATAAAAGACGTCGAAATTTGCAGCTTATGAGAGTACTTAGGTGGTATCGTAAATTCGTCGAATTAACCTGTCGCGTTGAACCAACTGAAAAGGTTTTGTTGAGTATTCGGCACATCTCGTATCAAATGCTTTTTTAGATAGCCTGAGGACCTTACATTCATTTGTTTCTACTAAAGAACAAGTGTGTTCTTCCCGGCTTATCATCCTTGTTTCTCTTCCGAGTACAACGTTTGGAAGAATTTTCTGTCAGAATCATCCGACTTTGTGTTTTAGAGTCTTCAAACTGTAAGACTAAAAGCAGGAAATTCCAGATCAAGAAGCAAAATCGTACTATTAACTATACTAAACTGTTGTGGTAAACTGTCCATGGTTAAGTTCCAAAAGTACGGAGCAAGTACGTCTGGAACAATTTTTGTCTACATTTCTAGGTTATCGAAACCGGTTTTCTTCGGGTCATCTAAGAAAATATATCTCAAGTTGGTTAGTCAGTAATTACTCACCACTAATGTATTCAACATTCCATAGTAATTTTCCAGTTACTACCAAACACTAGTTTGTTTTTAGGTAGGCCCAAGATTCTCCAGTTCTTTGATGTCAGCCCACTAGTAAATGTTCTGAGTGATCGTATACGTTTCGTAATAATATCGAATTGGAGTCTAGGTAAATCTCTAACCAATAGAACCAAAATTTGGTCTTTGGAATCTATGTGTTTCACAACAGGAAGTGACAAGGTTCAGGGATAGAGAATACATACAGTCAGTCAAGAAGAGAGAAAATAAAGTACGCGTATCAAGCAGCGTTGGGAGCTACGTCAGAATGAATAACTGTGAGTAACATTTATGCTTATAAGAAGATAATAATTTTCACAGATTGTTCGTTAAGTAAAAACAGCTCGTAACAATATCAGACTGAATCAAGGTGGTAGGCATTTCAAGATCACGTTAGTTGGTAGCCTTTTTATGTTAGCAACTTACATGTATATTTGTTTACTAAGATTCCTAACTTAAATGTTCTCAATCTCTGATCTGACAGTCGCAAATACCATCTTGATAGTGGAATTAAATAGTATGTTCGACCAGTAGGTATTCTTTGATAAGAGTTGTAAGAGTATACCGTTTTCAAGGTCATTTCTGATTTAGGAACTTCTTTTAAAGCATTCACGAACCTATGGCTATCTCTTAGCAAGACATCAATATTTGTCTTTACTTTGGATACGAATCTAAGTAAGACACGTAATTATAAACTGTCCTACCAACTATATACGCACCACTATGCTATGTAACTTAAAACTAAAATCCACTTGAAAATTATATTTGTCGCTAAAGATTAGAAACTCAACTCCAGTTGTTTCCACATTTTTGTGGCTATATATTGTTCACCACTTTTCGCCTTGTCTTGATTTCAAGAAAGTATTCCAGATTTCTTGGATAGACACTCCCCCGATATAATTTTTCTGTCCATATACTGGAGTGTAGGAAACGTGAAACCAATTGAAAAACAACTAGATGTAACTTGCCAACTGTCGTTTATTTGTCTGAAATGTAATAATGGAATCAAACGCGAAATAGTCTGTCAGTAAGTTTATCTCCAAAATAGGACGAAACATTCCAATAGATTAGAACTAAAAGGGACGTCCAAAGTATAAATATTCCTCTAAAAGAATTTTCTTTAGTACTAGCTGCTTCTTCACATTGCAAAGTTGTAGATATTATTCGTTCTGCACTTCAAAGACTTAAGTCTTGAATTACTTTATTTCCCGAGTAGTGATCTCCAGGGCTGCTGAAACTATCGTTGCTCCAACAGAAACTGGTTTAAGTCTATCATTGCCTTTTAATATTCTTTTTAGCCTTATTTACCGAAATTACCAGAATGAAACGGGTCAAACAAATAATAGTGATGAGACGTGTGCATTTACCAAACAAACAGGGTTTCTAAATCGCTTCGAACCGATAGTTTTGACCAAAGTTGTTATTCATGTGAAATATATGCAAGATCAGTAATCATCAGTGACATAGTCCTACGGTAAAGTTTTATTATTGGTATACATTTTACGACGCATACAAGTTGAACAAACGTTGGGTTGTTATTATTTAGATATTATAATCGCACGAACGGCTTAGTTTTATCATTCATTACATTTTATGTCACCCATTGTAGAGATGGACAATTTGGACCTATTTTTAAGTAATTTCGTCGATATTCATATCACTCATAACCTCACTTAATTTGTACAATTCTTGTTTTCGACTGTAAAATGTTATTTAAATTGTCATGTTAATTTACTCGTTCAAATACACATGTTACGCTAGTTACTAGTGAAAAAATACAGGCTTCTACCTGCTATACATATTTTACCTGGTGTTCCAAACATCTTTCTGGTTAATTCTCCTTCATAATGTTCCGGTTTATTTATTAGTTCAGATACAACACTCATATATATGAGATGTCTTGATTTTGGAGTTATTTTTAACTTCGTGACCATCCAACTTGCAGGAAAAACCGTATAATTCTTTATACTATTAACCCAATTTAGACCGTATTCTGCGTAAATATTATCGAAAGGGTTAAAATTCCTGTGTTGTTTATGATTCCGAATACAACAAGCCCACATCATCAGTGTATTCAGATTGTGACTGTTCGAAAATATATTTTATAAATGTCTCCAGTAGTTCGTATGCACCACTCATCTTCTACTAGTTCAGCTGCTACACACAGTCGTCCGACTATAAGGAAACTGGCGTTTCCTAAATCCCTGAAAATTGTGGGAAAAACAAGAAACCCGGGTAACGCAGTTTGATGTGAAACGGATTTCCTACGTAAGGGACTGTTTGAACCTTTTAAGGCAAAATTACAATCATTGGCACTGTTTGTATCTTAACATGAAAATATATATAGCTCTCCACAGAGGCGACCTTAGCTTTTGGTTGACACCAGAATTGGCTGTTACTCGTGCTCTACTCAGATCTAAAAGTAGACTGAGTCTAAGCAATTACAGGTAATACAGAACAGTTTGTCGTAAGTCAGGGTTATAGTTAACTATGTAGTCAAGCTGTTCTTTGTTCACGGCCTAACAGTGCGACCTGTCCGGTAAAAGACAATACAAGCGATTGGTACTGCAAGCCAGGCTTTCTGGTATGACGCAAGGGATAAAGTACATAAGCGTTGATAGTGATCTGACAAAAAGATGTAAGCCTAATAAAGTTTGAACGTTATATTGAATATCTGTGTTTATGTTCACAGACTTTTCTATGATTTCACCTTAAAATTACTATTTACTGCATTTTTAAAGATGTTTTCAGTGAACGTTATTACATAAACTTTCTTAGCTCGTGTACATTTCCGTTTTCTATAGGCTCTTGAGACGTGCATTCTGTCAACAAAATCTGATTTCCCCTTTTCATGATTGTCATTACACAAGGAATTTGTTTGTTGACTCATATCAACAAAACCGCAGTGATATTATTCTGATATTTACTTTATAGAAGAATGACGCTTTAT